CATGGTGAGTGCAGCCAGTCCCACCAGTTCTGGGTGTGGAGGTGCCACTTGGCATGAAGCGCAGCTCTCCCTGTCCTCGTGCAGTGCATGGCTCTTGGATACGCTGTAGTTTGTGGGGCCAGGCAGCATGGAGGGGTGGCACAGCAGCCAGACTCAGCTTCCTGGCAGCAGCTCGCCCTGCCCTCACACTTGCAGCTGCCACTTCCAGTGTCTCCACTGCCACCCTGCTGCGTGGGCACCCTGGCCCATTCTTCCCGCAAACTGGTAGGGACATGTGGGGAGTGGATCACAGCTCTGTCCTGGGCCCCATGCTGTCACAACCCTGCAATCCCAGCCCTGTCCCCAGCCTCACCCAGCCGTCCCGCTTCTGGACGCTGCACCCCGCCTGCCTGCAGCCCCATCCCATCCGCCTGGCTGAGCGCACCCTGCCTACGGGGCTCTTGGGCCAGTTTTCATAGAGACTGCACCCCCACTCCATCTGGCAACCCCAGCAGTGGGTGTGAGATGGACAGGCCCAGGGCTGGATCAGATCAGTCGTCATCTCTGCATTCCCCCTTCCTCCACTGTGCCAGGCAGAGTAAACAGCCATGATGCAGGGGGGCAAGGCCATGTTAGCCTCATCTCCCTCCCCAGCCCTCAACAGTTAACCCTCCCACCAAATAATGGCCCACCCCTTGCGTTGAGTAACAAGGATTAATATGATGAACTGGTGGCAGCTTTGTGAGATTTAAAAGGGAGCTTGAGACTAGTTCAAAGGAAGTTGTTAGGGGTATGGGTTGGTTGGAAGCGCTGAAGCATGCCAAGAATGTTATTAATAGGTCTGCGTTAGGTCTTTGCATCAGAATCACGCACCAGCAGGAACTGCTCTTTTATGAGACTGGAAACTTGAAGACCTTCCACTCGAAGATGGCTTTGGCAGACTTTCCAATAAAAACCCCCAAACTGAAATCAGAAGGGAATAACGGAGGCAACTAGATAATGATCTTGTTCTCCCACACTTCTTTCTGTTACTCCTGAAATACACACACACATACACTAACACACACACACAGTAGCTCAGACACGCTCTTTCTAAATCAGGAGTCTCCATTTATATCACCCATTTATTTAATGCCTAAAAATGAACGGAAAAGCATAACATACTCTAGGCATCCAATTGTGAAACCAGAGGTCGCGGCACACGTGAGACCATCAAAATCTGTTCAGAACCTGAGTCTGACCACAGTAATGCCAGTGCTACTCAGCAGCCAGAAGTAACGCTAGAGTTACAATGGTGTAGCAGCAATGTAAGCATTATTAGTGCCTTTATTTGTTAAACTTATTAGGGGAATTCCCATGAAAAGTGCAGGGAATCCTACAAAGATGGTCGCTATGCCTCGTGCTGATGTCAGAAAAATGAAGAGCACTCCACATATATAACTGATATAACCAGCTAAAATCAGTGTAACCAGGGAGTGGACATACAACATATACTCCTACATGGGTGTAATTTATTAGACTCTGGGTGTGTCTACATGTGCAATTAATGTGAAGCAAGAAACTTCGGAGTTTATTGCTCCCAGGCACACCATTTGAAAGTGCACTTGGGAGCAATAAACTCCATACCAATAAACTCCGGAGTTTATTGCCTTTTGAACATGCACCCAGGACCACAGCACATTGAGCTGGGTTGGAGCAGCCCCAGGTGGCAGGGGACCCAGGGGGGTCAGCCTGCCAACCCAGGACTGCTCCCCCTGGCTCAATGTGCTGTGGAGGGCCTGGGTGGGACACAAGGGTGCTTCAGCATGGGGCTAGCTGGCACGCAGCCCTGGCACTGAAGCATGCTTGTGCCCCAGCCAGCTAGGGCAGTGTCTACATGTGAGCTGCTGCAAATAGTATATACAAGTACTATCCTGCTGCGGAGTAAATAAGTTTACTCCAGCCTAATAGGGACACACATGCAGATGCTGAAAAGTTTACTGAGCAGCTAATTAATCTACTGCACAATAAACGTCTCATGTAAATGCACCCTCTGAGTCAGACTATACCAGTATTAGTTACTCCACTGTAGGTGTGTTTCCGCTCCTATCCCAGCTTAGCGGTTTCTTAATACAAACAGTTTACTGCCAGTCCTCCACTACATAATGGTGAAATTAGGGTTGATTAAGCCAGTCAATTGACCAGTCAAATATTGTCAATGGACTGAGCAATTGACTGCAATTTTTTTTATGATTGGTCAAAGATTATAGCAATTTGTGCTTCTTCTGTATATTATTTGAACCTATTGGCAATTTTTTACAAATTTGGACCAATATTGGAGCGGTCAATTGACAAACTTTATTTGACCTGTCAAATACCCAACCCTAGGTGAAATGCTATAATAGTGCTTACTCTGAGTAGCTACCCAAGGAGAGCAGGTTGTCTGTCCACCATTATACGAGAGTAATTTTTGTTGTTATATATAACTGATGTAAGCTACACTGATATTAATGTAGCATGCATCCAGCCCCTAAGTCCACTCGGAATCATGATTTGGATGCTCATACTTTTAGATCAGAGGTCCCTAGGTTCTGTGTCCGCAGATGATACAAGCAGGGTTGTCATTATGAGTGGTAGAAAATGCAAGCAGTGGTCTTGGCTACATGTGAAAACAAATTCATCTAATATAATCAAATCAATAATCAAAATGTTTCAAATGTCCACATGGGGAAAAGAATACATAGAAAGCCACCTGGAAAAGAGAAAATAGATCAAATTATGTTCTCAGTGATTCTGCTGTAATATGGAGCAACTCGCTTGATTACCTGGAGGCATTCCAGATACACCCACTATTGTCAATGAGACCAGAAGACAGCTGGTGTCTTAAAATCTGTATAGAAAACTAGAATGAATTACAATCCCCTACGCGCTTTTTGCTTTGCAAGAGTTGCACAAGTTGATTGGAAGAATTGTACCCAAGCTGGTTGGAAATTTTTCAGTGTGTAACCCTTCTGCTAGGCACTGGTTGGCAGCAACAAGGGGTAGGTTCAATTTGGGGGTCTAAATATATTTTACCTTGGCTCAAGCACCCACCCAGACTACCTGGGAAACACAAAATAAATTGCTAGGGTGTCCTGCATAAACCAAACCCCTCCTCACCAGCAATGTAAACACAGAGGATAAATTTATTACAGAAACAAGGGAAAAGAAGCCAGTAAATACAATTTAAAACACTACCAACTACAAGGCATAGTTACATAGTTGATAGGTTGCACCCTCTTGGGGAGGTTTCACCCATGCCCAGGCAATCTGGGACTTGGGGTTCACCCTTGCAATGAGCTGAAGGGAGAGGCTTCACCGGAGAGTCCTCTGAACCTGCTCCTTGGGTTTCTAGCATGGGAAGCTGCTAGAGAGTGTGGGTCCTTCTGTGTTGCACAGGGCTCCTGGTTGCTCCCTGTGATGCTGCGGGGCGATCCCCACTCCCATGGGGCGGCCATGAGGGGTTAACCGTGGCTCTAGACAGCATACCCTGAATTCCTAGTCCCAATCCAGGCTCTGCTGGGTAGAAACTGCAAACAGAAAACTTCGAAGGAGAGGTCAGGTCTACCTCACTGGGGCTGAACTGGGCAGCAAAAGCTGGCCAGGCCTATAGTGCAGTGAGGCCTGGACATATAGCTGGGGTTCAGCCACACGCTAAGCTAAAACACTATAGCTGTAGAAACAGCAGGGGAAAAAAGGCCCAGGCCTATGGCTGCGGCCTGAATGCTCAGTCTAGCTATACCCCCTGCTATAACGATACAATTACAGATCAAAGAGGGCCAGGCCCCTGTCGTCAGCAACTGTCAGGACCCATTCCTGGGCAGTTTGCTTCAGTGATTAACACCCCCATGGTGTTAACCCACTTAAGAAGAAAGTGGGAGGAAACAGGAGTCTTAAACTCCAAAACAGACTTTCTCTCCCTCTACCTGAGACTTTCCCTTCAAATAGTGTTTGCTCGCCTCTCCAGCGAAGAGGAGGGAGACCCCCCCTCTCGTGGGGAGCAGGTTTTCTGGCTCCCAGTGTATCTGTATAGCTCTCAGCAGGCAGATGAATAAGAGCCCCAGAACGTTACTGCGTGGTTCTTATATACCTGGGGTGACATCACCCAAGCCTTGTCCAATCCGGGGGGGTCACATTTCAGTCCTTCTCCCAACCAAGCTGCCTGTAGCATCCTCTGCTCCCTCTGGCCAATGAAGACAGAGGGTTTTACATATTTCCCCCAGATACAGGCCCCACGTTGCCATGTGCTGAGCACATGGCCAGAACAACAGGGGCCATTTTGCCCACATCAAAACATGCACGCAAAAAAAACAATGCACAACCCAGCATGTGTGCACGCACGTTACAAATGGATGTGTTTCGAATCGACAAAAATATCTACTTGTCGAAAGCAAAATTCTTGCAGCTGTGTGCTGATTTGGATTAAATTAAATTTTGAAAAAATCAGAACCAAGAGCATCCCAGTGAGCTGGAAGTGTTCTGCTCTCAGCCTCCCGCAATAAAATGTTTTAATTTTGCCACCTTGAAACAACTGTGTTTTCATTTCCTTTCAGATAATAATCTAAATAAAGCAGATTGAAATATTTTGAATCTGCTCAATAACTATATACTTTATTGGAGCTTTGTTGCATGGGTAAGTCTGACACCATTCAGCTTTGCTCCATGCAAAATGGAAATATAATAAAATTCAGAATTTTCCACAAAGAGAGAAAGTCAGATTCCTTCCCAGCTCAAACTAGACAATGACATTTCATTGAAAGTGGAGTGGGTGAGACCCAGGTGACATTGTGAAAGCCTTTTTATAGAATCAGAGAGGGGAAAAAGAGGAATGAAGATTAGAGAGAAGATCAAGTGGAGAAAAGGGGGGAAGATGGGAGAGGGGGAAAGAAATCAGAGCTCACTTATACACACTGTGCTAAGTGCCCTTCTCACCAAACCATTTGCCTACTAGATCTCAATCCTTAAATCCACTGTTGTGCATTGCTTTAGATTTCTCTACTTACTTGCATGTGTACATCCAAATTATGGAAATGCAGGTTGTTTGCTCAGGGCTTCGTTATTATTGCTCAGGGGAAAATCAGGAGCAACCGTCTTAAACTCCTAGAAGAACATTTCAGACTGGATATAAGGAAAAACTTCTTTATGGTTTGTGCGACCAGACTCTGGAATAGACTCCCAGCAGGGGTTGTTCAGGCACCTACCCTGGAGATCTTCAAAAGGAGACTGGACACACACCTCGCTGGGGTTATTTGACCCCTGCAGTCTTTCCTGCCCAGAACAGGGGGGGCTGGACCCAATGATCTCATGAGGTCCCTTCCAGCCCTAAACTTCTGTGAATATGGTTTCCCAGGCGTTCATCTGTCTGATTACTTTTGACTAGCAAAATCACTTCTTTCCGCTGGAATTTCCTCCCACTCAATTTCCTCTGAAAATGAAGCTGTTTACTGAAGTGTCTGAATATGGAACTAGATGTCTAAGTTTTTTGTCAGAAAAAAAAAAAATTAATGACAATTTTAAAGCAATACCCCTGGCTGTGTTTGAAGGACAGGGCAGTGAGGGCCCATCAACCCAACCTCAGTTTGTGCTGGGGACCCAGCATAGTATTGCCCCAAACAATCAGCAGTAGTGTAGTTGGCTTAGTGCCACACTGGGCACACATTAATAAGCTCTGCTGTCGGGATAGCGTATTAATATACATCCATCACCCGCCTAAGGTGACTACACAACTTTCAGATGAAGTCCAGCTGCTCTACCTCTACCAGCTGTACTTTCCACCTTCTTCCCAACATGTACCCCAATGACCACCTCTTCCTATTAGCTCTCCTGCCCTTGAGGCAAAATTTCCATCTGAAACACCCGTGCCCATTCTAGGCAGATAACCTGGCTTTTCACTCCAGCAGCCCTTCCAGAAGAGACCATCAACATATCAGAGCAGGGACTTGAATGCAGGTCTCTAAAGTCTAGGACAGTGGTCTCCAACCTTTTGAAGGTGAAGATCACTTTTTGAAGTAAGCACCCCCGCCC